CAACCATTAGCTGAATGTACTATCAATAAAATCCTGGGTCGCAAGTACTCACTTTAATATTTAAAAAAAAAAAAAAATTAAATATATTTAATACTTTAAAAATGTCACCAAAAACTAAATTCATTTGATATACCATACATGGCATAAAAACCTTATTTGGATATTCTACTCTTAGCTGATACTTATAAAAAAAAAAAGATTATTATATTTTATATTATATTTAGCAATAAGTTGATTAATATGTCTTCATACTTATTTTGCCACTTGTGTTTTTATCAGAAAATCTGACACAAAACAATTAATTTTTATACCCTTTAGTTTTGCATTATCCATCATATTTTTAATAAAAATTTTTACATTTTCAGTTTTTGATTGTTGATCGCTTATATTACATGCATTTCAAACCAAGGCTTCACTTTGAGAAATAATCATAACACCAAAAAAATGCTCCTGTTTAATGTTTGTTCAGTCATCAAAGGCTGCTATTACACCAATCTTATTTGCATATGCATGTTGTAAGATCTCCTCAGTTAGTTTTTTTAAATACTTTAGAAGGATTCAATCACTTATTGAAATCTATTAAGTAGCTTTAGAACTGGCACAATATAATTAAACATATCTTGTGTTTCCTGATTCTTCATGAATGTAAAAGAAAGATTATTAGATACTATTATATATAATATTAAGTTTTCAAAATATTTTTTATCTTTACTAGATAGTGAATATAAAACATAGCTAGTAAGAAATTTTTGATTTTGTTTTGTTAGAATGAAATTTTTAGTAAGTGATGAATCAGTTTTTGAGATTATGAAAGATGTAATGGTTTCATCTTCAGATGCAGATTCAACATCAATTACTACTAATTTATCAAGAAGTAATTAATATCATATAGTATAAACTAACTATATTTATATAATTAATATAGTTATCTTGTTTATTATCTTTTTTTTTAATAACTTTTTTAATATCTTTAGGCCCAGATTATGCAAGAATCTCTAAAATTTCATTTGCACTATATTCAGATCTAAAGTTTGAACAATCTTTAAAGTAGCTTTAGCATAATTTTGCCTTGTTTGAAACAAAGCACTCAGGATTTGTAAATGCAATAAGTAATGTATATTTTCAGAAATATAATAAACAAATAGCCTTTTTATTGACCCTTAGATTATCTAAAGTCACTAGTTAAAAAAATTCTTAGAAATTATGTTCTTTACTATCTATTATTGTGAATAAAAATATACTAGATTGAAAAGAGAAAAATACATATTCAGAACAAGATAATGTTCAATTTTTATATATGCTAAATTAACATATCTGTGTAAGAATTTTTTCTATATTTAGCACAAACTTTTTTACTTTTTTATTTCAGCATTTGTAAAATTACATCACAATGTGCTTTAATTCTCTTTACTAATCTAATAATTTATTATTTATTTAATTTTTTATAAAATTTTTTTAATTTTTTTTTATTTTATCTGTATTTTTTATTTTCTTTTATTTTTTATTAAGACTTTTTTGTTTTTAAATATTACTTGTGCTTCGATTTTTTGAGTTATAATTTTGGTCAAGTCTTTATAAAAAGTTTTATAATAGCTTTATTTATTATTCACATGAATAAAAAAAGTTCAAATTTTATAGACAGACTTTAATAAAATTTCATTGCATTACTAAGAAATTATTATAAATAATTATTGTAAATACTTTATTTTTGGCTTATTTTATTGTGCATTTCTGCTTTTTAGTTTTTAGTTAATAATGTTTTTTAATTTACTTATTTTTATTTATTATTTTTGGCAATAAAACTCTAACTATTTAGGTGGCATCCACAATTTATATTAAATCATAAAGATCTTAAAGATAATACAAACAATAATTTAATATAAATTGTGAATGCTATCTTACTACTATTTTTTTTTATATATAAACTTTAACTATCTTTTACTACAAACTGATATATAAACTGTCAATTTAATCAATATGTACTAATAACAGTTTATAAACCTCTAGTGATAAGGTGTTTGATTAATATACAGATGTATTCCTCTTTTAAATTAGTATAATTGTGATTTTTATATAATGTTATTGATCTATACATTATATAAATAGTATTATTAATATCTATATATAAATCTTAACACTAAATGCATCAAAAAAATAATCTTAACTTTAACACAGTTAATTTATTTTTGCAATTTAGCTATTTAGTTGTTAATTTATTAATTGATTTTAAAAGATAAATATATTAATCAATGCATTATAATTAATACTTTGAACTCTTGCGTCAACATTTTAATATTTTAAATATAATACAAATTATTTACAAATTTGTTCTTTAAATTATATAAATAACAAAATATTAAGAAAAAAAATTAAATTCTAAGTACCTAAAAAAAACTATATAGCAGATTAAAAAGCACTCTTTTTTAACTTATTTTAATAAGGGGTCTATATTAAATTTTGTTACAATTAGTTGATTAAACACCTCACCTATAGTAATTTATATTATGTAGATGAACTGATTATGCATAATGATCCAAATAACCCAAATAACATGGGTTATTCTAAAAGAACCTATGTTATTTGATTATGAGTCATTTGTAAATGACCTAAAAGTTAGATGATCATAATGATCAGTCATTTTAAGGTTATTTTAGGTCATTAGTCATTTAAGCAAATAATCTAGTCATTTATTATCACTGCTTAAGATAGTAAGAACTATGCAGAAACAACTTAGGATATTGTTTATATCATTTGTTATTCATGTTTGAAACACTTGGAGCTTGTATTTAAGCACTTGGATCCATGCAAGCACTTGAAATTGGTGTAAAGATACTTGGAATTTGTATAGGAACACTTGGAGTTCATGTTAGGAATACTTAGAATTCTTGTGCTGCAGTACTTGGCATAGTAATTTGGTGCTAAGATACATAAAACTTGTACAAAGGTACTTGGAATTTGTAAGATGATAGTAATATCACAGATGTTACTCAGTGTCTTATAGCTTTATTACATTTCTAATAACTAATTAAGATTTTTTTATCTATTTACTATATATTATAATTTTTTTTTTTTTTTAAATATTAAGATGAGTACTTGCTACCCAGGATTTTATTGATAGTATATTCAGCTAATAGTTGCATTACAACTATAGGGAGCAACCATGGAAAGAGTGTACAACTAGCCACTCGTACAACTTTAGTTATTGTCTAATTTAAGTAGTCCACTTGAAGGTTCTACACTAGCTGCCATACCTGGAACCCATTTGTAGATTCCCTATTTAACCACTTTGTTCTCGTATCCACCCACCTACCTACACCTACCAAGATGCCCTGGTCGATACCAGTTCAAATATGCCATGGTTACTAAGTCTT